CACTTATGAAACATCTAGAAAGGTTTATCGAACGGCTACGAACGATTATCCAACGGTTATCGAGCTATAATGAGTGGCAGTGATCGAAGAGGAAACGGTCTCGAACGAGGCTACGAACGATTCAAGAACAGCTGCGAACAAGGCTATGAACACGTCAGGAATGGCTACATGCAAGGCGGTATACAAGTCCGGAATGGCTACGAACGAGTCAAAAACGATTGACAACGAGGCTATGAACGGGTCAGAAACGACTGCGAACGAGGCTATGGACTGCTTAAAAACGACTATCAACAGGGTCAATCGCGCCAACAAAGGGACCAAGAACGGTAGTGAACGGCAATTGAACGGCAATCGAACGGCTATTGAACGGCTATAAACGGCAATCGAACGGGTCAGCAACGGCAATCGAACGGCAGTGAACGGCTATTGAATGGCTACGAACGGCTACTGAACGGTTACGAACGGCTAATTCGATCGACGAATCGAAACAACGATGGGCCAACGATCGGGAATAACCGGGGAAGCGAAGAAACAACATAGTTTAGAGAAACGGCAGTTGGTGAACGAACTGCACGCACCGGCGAGAAAAAATTTCCCCCGAAGGCACGTAATAGTGCGGGGATACGATGATCTGTGGCAACCCGACATTGTCGAGATGTATCCGTACTCTCGTTTCAACAGAGGTTACAACTACATACTCACAGTCATCGATGCGTTGAGCAAGCACGCGTGGGCCGTACCGCTCAAGAGTAAAGGCGGAAGCGAGACAGCTGACGTTATCGCCGAGATAATTCGAGATAGCGAGAGGTGTCCGAAAAACATACAGACTGACATGGGGAAGGAATTTTATAACGCCGACGTGCAACGGCTCATGCGAAAACACGGCATAAATCATTATTCTACGTATTCGGTATTGAAGGCATCGATCGTCGAGCGATTCAATCGCACGCTAAAAGACGATATGTGGAAGATGTTTACGCTGAACGGATCTTACAAGTGGGTCAAGGCGTTGCCGGGACTCGTATCGGATTACAACGCGCGCAAGCATCGAACGATCAGTATGCGACCCGTCGACGTTACCCCTGCGATTGCCGAAAGACTCTTGGCTACTGTATACAACCGTGTAAATATCGCGGGTCCGGCGAAATTCAAAGTAGGTGACTCGGTACGCGTTAGCAAGTACAAGACAGTTTTCGAGAAGGGTTACACGCCAAATTGGACAACTGAGGTGTTTAAAATTGTAAAAGTGCAGCATACTAATCCCGTGAGTTATCTACTCGAGGATTATCGCAAAAAACCTATCGCTGGAGCGTTCTACGAGCACGAGTTGCATCGCGCGAATTATCCCGACGTGTATCTCGTGGAGAAAATACTGCGCAGGAGAGGTGACGAGGTATACGTGAAATGGCTGGGATTTGACAATTCGCACAACTCTTGGATACATAAGGACAATATGATATAATTTATACAGTGTTTATTAATATTTCTTTCAATAATACTATATATTCTTAATATAAGTATGTAAGATATGCGCTACATAAAATATATGAAATATAAATGTGTAAGATGTGTATTATATAAAACTATATGAAGTACAAAATATATACAGTAATAAATAAAATATATACATGTATTTACAAAGGTATCCTATAATGTCCCCATGGTAACGTGTCAGTCGAATCAGGTACGATATATCGCTTGTCATCGTACGGACTCAGAGCAATTTTCGTCTCGCGGACGGTATACACTTGGTGCAATTTAGATATTATACACGACTGCTGTCGCGTCATTTCGATCTCTTCGTTTAAACACCGCGTGTAATCTTCGAAGGTTATCGTTCTCGCGACAACGTTGCTCTTGACGCCTTTAACTTTCTTCGTGTCTTTCTTTCCGTCCACTCGTAACGCGTACATCTTTGCTCTGAGCCCGACGAATTCGGTCATGGCACCGTCGTTTTCGTCCTTCATCAGACCCGGTACCTTTTTATTTACAAGCGGTATATCGTACGTATTGTCCACCGCATAATCGCTCGTGTCGAATCTAACAATGTCGCGCTTCATGTTGTCGTACACATCCGCGCACTCGATGTGATATATGAGACTATCCGTATCGGTGTACATTACCCGGCATTTGTCGTGATACAGAGGATATATGTACTTGTGATGAAATTCGTACAGACACGTCTTGGATATGTCGAGGATGCACATACCCACGTAAATCGGTTTGTAAAATTTCACCTCGAGTTTACGCAATTCTACCGCAATCAGATTTTCCGAAAAGACGCTTCTGCTGTGAAAATTCGGTTTCGCGATCATCGCTTCCGCACCGACCGTCCCATTTTATTAATAATTTTACATCGACACGATTACGCACATTTTCCATCGTTTTGCCAAATACCGCGTTGTTTATTAATTTATATAAATTTTTCTCGAAATCGTTTTTCGCGAGTGTCCTGAAACGTGTATTTAATTCTATGTAATTTCGAAGCCATGGAGATTGAGAAAACTGTAAAATTCTATGTATTTTTGTTATACGAAGGCCGTGACGCGTACACTGTTGTAGGTTACGGTAGTGTATCACGTAACGCTTCTTATCGTACAACGTTGCGAGGAGCTTGTCTTGCCGCTTGCCGGGCGGCTTGTCGCGTGTCGGACAAAACGGTAAGTCGGTGTGCGTATCGTGAAGATGTTGCGGGTACTCGAGATCGACTTCGAGGATATACCCCGTGGGCGAATCTAACGCTATAGATGATACGTCAAAATTCGACGCGTCGTCGACCCATCGAAAATCGGCGTAAGGCAACGGTTGACACATTGCCCATCCGTATAAATTATTAACGTCAAAATACATCAAGTACGACGATGGTTTCGATGGATCGTACGAGTGTCGCATGTACTTGTTATTAGCGCGCGCGTATCTGTTGGTTCAGACCACCGCGTATATCGCGTTCTATAAACATGACCATGTCGATATCTGTAAGCAACTCGAACGTAATCTTTGTATGCTTTAACATGGCGTCTCACGTGTATCCGGGAAGAGTATAGTAATACGCGGGGTCGAGTCCGTAACTTTTTATGCAGCTATCGCGAAAATTTTTGAAAATATCGGCTAATAACAAGACGTCGATTTTGAGATACATGTCGCTATATTCGCCCAGCGTTCGGATGGAGAATCGCATCCAGATGTTCTCGGCATGCGCATAATCGCTCTCGGATATAGTTTCACCGGTCAAGGAACTATAAAACGATTCGCGCGGTGGTAAATGCGTATCTCGCAACCTATCTACCGAGTCGATGTATTCGTACGGAAAGACGCCTTTTCGCGTTAATAAACTAAAATTTTCCGCGGATAAATTTTGAAATTCCGATTTTAAAATTTTGAGTTTGTCTTTGTCTAGATAAGATGCCAATTTGTCGAGACTCGATGTAAGAAATTTGTACGAATCGATGAAGCGTAATTTTACATTATTTTTCCAATCGCCTTCCTTAAGGTCGACATTTTTCGTAAATGAAATATATTTCTCTTTCGTTATCGGAAGTAACTCGACGCTCCCTTCGAATGCTGTGGCTATTTCCTCGATAATAAAGTGCGAATCGTAACCGGATAAATTATGAAAAACTATCGGAATACAAAAAGATTCTTTGTAATTTAAATTGCAATTTGAATGCGCGGGACTTCTGTACCGCCCGGTCAGATGACAATGATCGCGAACGCGTGTATCGTCTTGCGCGAACGGCTTTTCGCATATATGGCATTGAGTGGCGTTGTGAAATTTTTTACACTCTTCGGACGTTTAACCATGGGGACATTGATCGTTAAAATATTCTTAACGCGAATCGCTAAATTTTTAAGATCTTCGACGAACCACGCTATACAATCGGCGCTACGACGCGAATGGTACGCCGATAAAGATTCGTCGTATGAACAATGCATATAATACGCTATACTAAATACCCGATGATGCTGGTACAATTTTTGTTGTTGTTCTTCCTCCGTTTTGATCAGAACGCATTCCAGGTACCAGGCATCGGCGTACACGACAAATGGAAGCCGCTCTTTCCTGTTGTAATTGTTGAACTCGAGCCTTGTCCTTGTCGCTCGGCAACCGGATAGCGCAGTCGTTCATCTCCCCGCAGTCGACCGTATGCGACTGCAACTTGTCATCTGAACTAAAATAATGCAGGCATCTGTAAAAAAATTTTTTTTTTTAATTTTGAAAAATTTGTTATATAAATTATAATTATTTTATATTAATATATATATTAATATATATATATATATATATTAATATATATATTAATATATACATACCGATCGCAGATATATTTGTGATTTTTGTGTTTGCTCAGTTGCGAGCTCACGAGCCGGGATAAATTTTTTATCCACGCGAAATGTCCCACGTTGTTGCCGTCTTCCACGTATAGCAGATTCACATGCTTATCTCGCTTCTGCTCTGTCAGTCATAGTGGAACAATGTTCTCGCTTTCGATGCCGTACACGTTGATCGAGATACTGTTTGCGAGTTCAAATTTTTTAATTTGATTTAAAGTTACTGGAAACTCAATGTCCCGGAGATTCAGTACTGTCGCGTAATGCGGGTACGATGATTCTCGTTCCGCGTTCCTTTCTGCGGGATATAGAGCGGCGACCACTGCCCACGCGAAACACGCATTGTCTTTAGACTGTACGTTAACCACCGCTCTTTTCATCATAATCTCCCGCGACAATTTAATGTGGCATCCCGCGCGCATTGGATTATATTTATTTACATTAACAGTCAAATTCTGTATTCCTGACAATGCCCAGCCACTATCGCGTTCCTGAAATTCCTCCAGAGACGCTAAAGTGGGCTCGATAACGCGGCGCTCGAACCACTCGCGTAAATCCGATGTGCGAAAGAGTTCACAGTTTCTCGTATTTATACTTTTATTCGCGCGTTTATCACTCGACACAAATTCACCATTAAACACAGTGTTCACTTTTACACTGTTGTGTCTTTTTAAAACATCTTGCACTTGCTCGAGCACGATGTCTTCGGCATCCTCGAGAAATTGAGGTTCGATATAGTTTGCGTTAATCACGGCACCGGTCAGAATACGGCTGTCGAACGCGGTATCGATCTCTCGCCAAACGAGTCTTTCCGCGTTATTGTCACCGCTGTAATCACCACCACTGGGAATAAACCGTCTCTGCAATCGAGTCTTTGCACCTTCTAGTCGCGCGATTTTAGCCACCAGAGATTGTCTATTTCCGATCGAGATCCGCGGACGCTTGACACGACTAAGTTCTTCGAGCTCTTGGATCAATTCCTCGCAACGCTGCAGCCACGCGAAATACTCGCCCAAGGTGGCAATTCGGAGAGATCCCTCCATCGCGTTCGGTCTGCTCGATGTTTTCCATTTTCCTGTCTTTTTCACACTTTTAAAGCACTACGTCACAGTTTTCTACGGATGACTTTTGCACACGATAAACAATACCGTTCTCTATCTTGAACGTGAAATCGCGCAAAAATCTTTCGAACGGAACACCGCTATACTTTTTTACAACCGACGTGTCGATGGGCGTTCAAATCACATACTATGATGATTTGCACTTCAATCCTTCTTATATATAAAGGAGGAAACAAAGGTGCAAAGCTGCCGAACATCGGCGCTCATACGCGTCGCAATATCATCTCTTCCGAGAAAAAATTACGGAGAACGATTCTGGAAGGTACCATTTGTTTATATTGTTGATAAATTCGCATGATGTATAATTCAATGAGAGAGAGATAAGGATTCGTCGAACGGAAAAAAATCTAGAATTACTTATATCGGGGGTGTACCGCGAAAGCAGGGGTGCAAAGCAGCCGAACATCGGCACTGATATACGAGCGGTGGAAGCAAGGGTGCAAAGCTACCGAACATCGGTGCTGATGTACATTGCATTCCTTCCGAGAAAAAACATGCGAGATGATTCTAAGGTGTTTATATTATTTATCAACCGGGCACGTAATACAATATCGCTTATACTTTCGATAAACATATGGGACCGCGCATACTTTTTTTAACGAGGTGTTTACGGCGATATGGCGATAATGTCGCATCTCTATTATACGATCTCGTACCGAGATCTCGCTGCCTTGTCAGAAAGAGTTTGGCAGTGCGCGAATCGAGAAATCGAAAGTGAAGAAATCGAAAGTGAAGAAGTGAATATTTTTTTCATATTATAACAATGGAGCTGCAAACACGTATAGACGAATGGAGGTGCATAATCACCCTTTTCCGAGATGACAACAATAGTGCTATGGAAAAATCGTACACTAAACAGATGTCGATAACACAATATGTGCGCGATCGAGAATTAGGCATACGAGATATGCGTAAGCAACGTTTCGTCAGACAAGCCGAGGTTAATATGTACGAGAATGGGTATATCGAATGGCCCGATCATGTACAACTGAAAATTTTTCGTGAAATTCGGAAGACACACTTCTCAATTGATGTATATGATGATGATGATTACTCTTATTTCGGCAGTAAACGTAAAATTATTCGAATCATAGACTCAGAAGATGGGTGGCAATACCAATGTATTAGACGCTATAATTGCGGTCAAATATTTGAATATGAGAATCATGTTTATATATATAAAAATGTCGATTACAGTTGGGTAGATAGGTGTATCAATGACTGCACATACACGCCGTGTATAAATATACGTATCCCAACGGGCATAAACCAAACGTACATAGAGTTAATAATCTGGAATGATTTTTATCATAATATTGAATATGATGATTTTAGAAAATGCATTGCTGGTAATCATCATAAATTATTATATATAACGCGGTATTGTACACAATGTCAATCTCGTAAATGCAAATGTCCATCTGAAATTATATACAAAAAGTATGCATATCAAAAGAAAAAGCAACAGGAAGAGAATGTACAGGTAACGGATAATTTTTGCTAATATAATTACGAAATTAATTTAAAATGTTCAAGTAATTATTTTTGTGTGATTTTTTTTTGTAGGAGAATGTTTCAGGAGAGATGAAAAATCTGAATGGAGATCAGAATGGAGAACAAAATAATCTGAATGGAGATCTAAGTAGAAATCATAATGACGATTGTTATGTAAATTTTGATGAGCTATGGGCATTGTATAATATAACGGATTAAATTTTATATTTTATATTTTATATTTTACATTTTATTTCAATTTTAATTTTAAATACACATACACACACACACAAATATGTATAATATACACACACACATTTTAAAATAAATTTTATATATATTTTACTTTAAAAAAATCTAATTATTTCGCATGTCTCTCCTTGCGTTCCCATCCCTGCGCTAGTTATAAGTATCGTGTTGTACTCGCACCATCGCTCCCCCCTCTCCCTCGCACGCGTTGCCATTCGAAGAAATGCTGCTGTTTATATTATTTATAAACCGAACGTGTTCGTACGCAATATTGTTTATCAATCGAGCATGTAATAACGCGCAATGGGCGCGTTCAAGACGGCAAAGCGGCTAACTTGCTCGCCGAGCAAATGCATTGAACAGTACAAATTGCTAGCTGCTTCGTCGCAGCGGCTAGCCTAGCTGCGTAGCATAATTTACCTTTGCTTTCTTAGCTAACGATTTAGCATTGTAGGTTATGTGTATTTGTTTGTAAATAAGTATGTACAGTTTTTCTTAACTTCTGTTGTAAATTTAATATTATTGTTAACATTTTATTAGATTTTATTAACATGTCGAAGATTCCAAATGCACAAACTATCATTTTAGAAGATGGAAGTCAATACATTATTGATAATAATGTATTATTACTTTCTAATAATGACGGTATGTACATAATGTAAAAATTATATCAATTGAAAATCAGAAAATAGTGCAACATGTATTAAGAGAAACACAAGACACTATGAATAGACATTGTGCTTCCGCTACTGAAATTAATGATGAAAGTAATAATATACATATTTTTATTTATTACCTAAAACTTCTATTATTCTATTTATTACTATTTTTTATAATCTAAAAAATAATTGCAAACGATTTTTTAGATAACTTTTCCTGGAATGAAAAAGCTATCCTTTTAATGCTGGAAGAGTACAAAAAAAGGGCTGAACGCTTTAGAAATCCTAAAAGCAAGAAAAAGCAACTTTGGCAAGAAATATCTGACGAGATGACAAAATATGGATATAAAGTTGATGCAGATGTAATAGATAAAAAATTTAGGAATATGAAGACAAGATATTTAATTATAAAAGATAATAATGATAAGAAGAAAACAACAGGAACTGGTAGAATTTCCTGGGCTTATTTTGATATTATGTCTGAAATTTTTTTCGATGATAGGACAGTAAACCCAAATTTCGTAATAGCATCAACTGTACTTTCGAATAATAATAACAATAATAAGAACGAAACTGAAGAAATTACTACATCTGAAAACATTCCCGAGAATGAAAGTATTGAAGAAAACGACAATATGTCATCTACTTCTACTAGTTCAAGTGTTAGGTCAAATATTTTTAAAAAGAGTATACAAAATAAAAAGATATATGGAAAAAGAAATAAGCCTATAGATAATTACAGAAAAAAATGTATAGACATCGAAGAAGATCGAATTAAAGAATTAAGAAAGTTAAGAGAAACTGTAGAAAATAATAATACAATACAAAGAGAAAAACTGGAGATGTTAAAGCAGTACTTATTAATTCAACAAGGAAAATCATAATATTTTTTACTCAATAATAATTTGTGATAAAAGTTCTAGTTCTTTATATTTAGTCCTTTTAGTTTTAGTTTCAAATATATATCTAACCAAATATAAATATTAATTTAAAAAGTTTTCATATTTTGTTGAAAAACCATTATAAGTATCTGAAAGTATTATATAAGTAATGTAAATGTGCAACAGAGTTTCTTCTTACAATGGTTTTTATGATCAGTTTTGAAGGAATTTGTTTTTTAGAAAAATTTACATTATCTTTTGTTTTTAATTTCTTTTATTTCTTATAAATCTTAATAATTCTTTTTTTAGTACAGATATATTATTAAAAACTTAAAAAATGTACATTAACATATGACTGTTGTAGAAGCCAAAAATATTAATATTAGATCTTAAGAATTTTAAAGATTGTTACATTGTACTTATTTTTTTATTTTACAATGTCTGTGATTTTTAGTTTATTTTTTAATTACTATTGCATTTTATTTATTTAAAAATTATTCGCACTTGTAATTAATTTTAACGTAATATTGAAGTTATATAATCTCTTTTTCTATCTCCTATTGCAACCCTATGTTCATCGAAAATGCGCAAATTAATTTCATTATTATCATCTTCATTTTGTTGTTCATAATCTTCGTCTAATTCTAGGCCTTCGTTTTTTATAATGAAATTGTGCAGTACACAAGCTGCTACAATTACTGTAGGTATCAAATCGATTCTAGACATATCTAAAAATTTTAAACGCCTCCATTTTCCTTTTAGCAGTCCAAAAGATTGTTCAATAATACATCTGACTGAGCTTAGTATTGTATTAAATCTCGTTTTTTCTGGTGTGAGATGACCATTATCTCTGTATGGCTTCATAAGAAATGGAAGCAATGGATAAGCGTTATCTCCTAATAAATGTTGATTCTCATGTATTGGAGGATCATTTCCAGTTAGCAAAGCAAATAAAGGACTTTGTCTAAACACTCTAGCATCATGAACTCTTCCTACTATACCAGCAAAAACATCTATAAATTCTTTTCTGTCATTACAAACAGCCTGCAAAATCACTGAATGGTAATTGTTTCTGTTATAATAATCAACAAAATTATGTTGTGGTGCTTTTATGGCAATGTGGGTTCCGTCGATAGCTCCTATAATGCCAGGTATACCTATAGTAAGAAAAATTATGTATTAAAAAGCAATATAAATGTATTTAGTAAAATTGTTTAAATATTAATAAAAAATTTTAAAATAAAGTTTTTTTAAGCAAATTTGTATATTATTTTGTATTATTATTTTACATTTTTTATAATATATTATTAATATTATTAGAAGTATAGTTAATTTTTAATCTTATAAAAAATAAAGCATTTTTACCCGATTTTTCTTTCAATACATGACATGTTCGCTGTCTTTCTATATCATTTGGCCATATAATAAATTCACGTCGTAATTCTGCAATTTGTGAGATTGTTTCCAAAAAAATATGATGGCCAGTGCTTTTAGCTAAATTAAACCGATCTCCAGCGGCTAAAAAAGATTCTTGTTTCGCCAAGATCCAAATTGAAAAAAGAAGCTTTTTTTGAAATGGAACTTTATCTTCGACATTTCTCAAGTGTTGTAAATAAATCAATAGTGTCTACAAAAATTTTTTATTAAATCATGTGGCTATAAAATAAATAAAATAAACTAAATAAATAAAATAAAATATAAAATAAAATAAAACTTTTTTACCTGAAAAGTTTCTCTTGACATTCTAAAGTGTGCTTTGAAATCATCCATAGTGTAATTAAATATTATATTTTCATAATAATTTTGATTTCTTAATGGTATTTCATTTCGTAGTTGAACGTTAATAAATTCATTTAAAGGTTGGCCTATATAGTTAGCCGCAACACCCACTGCGTTAAAATCTATATCGTCTTCAAATAATTCTTCTAAAATAACATTAGCCAACATTTTTCTTTCGCAAGATTTATAAGACTTTAACAAAAGTTCTCTAACAAAAATTATAAGATATCAAGGTTATACCAAAGCATAGCGTTCAACGACGTCCGAGCTGCTATTTGTTAGCAGCATAGCATTCGCTCGGCGAGCAAGTTAGCCGCTTTGCCGTTTTGAACGCGCCCAATATTGCGATAAAACATCTAACACGCGCCGCTGCCGAAATCCCCTCTGTCCTGCGTGATGTCATTCCCCCGTGCCACCGTAATACCCCGCGCGCCTCACCCCCCCTGTGACGACCTGAGTTAGAACCCCCCCTATATCACTACTTAACTCTTTTAAAAATAATATAAATATATTTTTTATATTATTTTTTGGTTTTTCTTATTTTTCTAAATCAATTTTTATAGATTCTTCAATGAAAAAAATTATACAAGATATAAGCGTTCCTTTAAGCTTAAAGATGAAAAACAACCAACAAATATCAGATCAAACTTCTATTAATACTGAAAATTTACTCAAAGATCATCTAGATTCACACAATTTATTTACATTAACAGAATCATTAGAAAATGAAGATAACATTTTGATGCAATAAGATTTAAAATATTAACATTTTAAAATTTTAATATTTTGTAAACTAAAAATTATTTTAAACCAAAAATTATTTTAAAATTTATGTTTTCATACATCTTATCAAATAATTTCAGAAAATATAATTATCTCGTGTGCTAATGAAAACATGAATAATGAAATACATTTCAATAAGTATCCAAATCAGTCAGAAAATATTATACAAAATATAACTTCTTCATGTAAATACTACCACATTTTATTTATAATTTTTAAACAAATTTATTTATAAATATACTTTGATTTTACTTAATTTTTAAACAATTTTATTTATAATTAAATAGTAATTTATATACATATATAATAATTTTTAGCAAACGGCTATCAAAATTGTTCAAAACGTGACTCCAATGACACCTTTGATATTATGGAGCGATTACCCTTAAGTAATAAATGTTTATATAAATATTTACATAAAACCATATATATTGTGACGTTCTGGTAACGTCAATCTGTTGGTTCCGTGAGGCAGGCTTTTCCAACAGTTTTCCGAGTTCGACAGAACGTCTTAGTTGTGGATTCTTTTTCTTGCGGTTAAGGGGGTAAAATCCCAGGATAATTAACTGCTTTGAATTGTGTTTTCTTTATTCATGATGATTAAAGAAATATACTTTTGTTTAAAATTTAAACACTTTATTCTGACTTGAATTGCTCTAGCAGTTTACAGTACGAATAAGAATCTGAGTGGGTTTTAAGTCCAGAGTGAATCTGAACTGACTGACTGACTGATCTAAAACTGAGCAAGAATGAGGTTGAACAGAGCTCTTGTTCCGTTGTTGGAAGAGTTTTTATACTCTTTTAAAATTGAATAGTAGGGGTAATTTATGATGGAGTTTTAAGAACAAATTCTTTAGCTATGAAACGGATTTTTGCGAACTTCTTGGGTGGTCCTTAAGAGAAAGTTTTTCTAAGAATACATATTAGTTGGTTCTCTGAATGCATTGCTTGCAAGGTCGTGTCTTACATAAATTACGATAAATGACCCTTTCCAAAGAATTACAATAACTATTTGATTATTTAAAATATTGGTCATTTATCATGATTTTTACATAAATAGATTCTCTCTAATCTTTGGACATGTTTTACAATATATTTATATAAAAGAAGCTTATATTTAAAAGGACTTCCTTATATCGGTTCTTGTCTTTCCTAAGTATTACACATAAGTCTATCTCGCTCGTATAGATGATTCATATACATATATATATATATATATATAGATATATATATATATATATATATATATATATATATCTCAGATTGGTATTTTATTATAGGTGACGTATAAGCGTGTCTCTCTTAGTTTCATGTTAGTTTGTGCTTGTAGCTTATTGGATGGAGGATAGTGAAAAAAGGAAAAAATTTCTCCTAGATCTAAGGATCTATGGATCGCCGGACATGACACATGTAGTTCCAGACGACTTTCCGATTCAACAGAACGGAATCCTGGGCACAGAATTCTTCAAAAATCAACGAGCAACTATCGACTACCCGAGGGCCAGTCTAGTTGTAAACGGAATTCCATACTATTTTCATAGTGATGAAACTGTCATGATCCCAGCACGAACACGGAAACAAATCTTCATACGAGTAGCTAATCCTGAAATAAAAAACGGATATGTTCCGAAATTAGATGCAGGGCCGCAGGTGTACTTAGGTAACGCCGTCGTATCCATTCATCACGGAATTGCATATCTATATGTTATAAATTCATCAGACGAGAATATAAAGTTAGCAATTCCTACAGTAAAATTATATCCGTTTGAAGAAACAAAGAATAACAAAGAAATAGAAGAAATCAATGAATCCGAGTCAAGAGATCTAGAATCACGAGTCAATAAAATATTACAATTACTACGTCTCGATTATTTAAACGAAGAAGAAAGAGTAAACGTCATTAATTTGGTAACGAAAAATAAGGAAAGATTCCATTTACCAGGAGAAGCTTTAGGAGCAACTAACGTGTTAAAACATCGTATATTTATTAGCGATGACCATCCAATTAATGTCAAACAGTATCGATATCCTCAAGTACATAAGGAAGAGATACAACGACAGATTGGAGAAATGTTAGAAAAAGGTGTAATAGAACCATCAAGTTCACCTTATAATTCTCCTTTATGGATTGTTCCAAAGAAAGATGATTCGTTAGGCAATAAAAAATGGCGTTTAGTTATAGATTTTCGTACCTTAAATGAAAAAACGGTGGGCGACGCATATCCATTACCAAATATTGTAGATATACTCGATCAATTGGGAAGTGCAAAATATTTTTCAATATTCGACTTAGCATCTGGATTCCATCAAATTTTAATGGATAAAGATGACAAACATAAAACAGCTTTTTCGACGCCTTATGGACATTTTGAATATAATCGCATGCCATTCGGATTAAAGAATGCTCCTGCCACGTTCCAAAGATTAATGGATCAAGTATTAACGGGATTGCAGGGAATCGAATTATTTGTTTATTTAGACGACATTGTTATATACGCACGATCACTTGAAGAACATGAAATAAAATTTCAATGATTAATGAAACGTCTATCAGAAGCAAATTTATTTCTACAACCAGATAAATGTGAATTTTTGAAAAGAGAAATAGCATATCTCGGGCATATAATAACTGAAAATGGAGTACGACCAGATAAAAAGAAAATAATGGCTGTAAAAAATTTTCCAACGCCAAAAAACCAGAAAAAATATTAAACAATTTCTTGGACTTGCTGGATACTATCGACGATTTATAGAAAACTTTTCTAAAATAGCCAAACCGTTATCAGATTTAACCAAACAGTCAAATACGTTTGAATGGAAGAAAGAACAACAAAAAGCTTTTGATAAACTACGAGAAGTTTTGTGTTCAGAACCCATATTACAATATCCAAATTTTAATAAGCCATTTATTATAACAACAGATGCGTCCGGATTTGCAATTGGAGCAATTCTAAGTCAGGGAAAAATGGGATCTGATCTCCCTATAGCCTACGCATCGCGAGTATTAAATAACGCCGAAACTAGATATTCACCTACTGAAAGAGAATTATTAGCTCTTGTGTATGCAGTCAAACATTTTCGTCCTTACATTTACGGTCGTAAATTTACACTTGTTATGGATCATAAACCTTTAGAATGGTTAAACTCGGTATCAGATCCTACATCGCGATTAATGAGATGGCGATTAAAATTCGCGGAATACGAGTATGAAATAAAATATAAACCTGGAAAGAAAAATAAAAATGCAGATGCTTTATCTCGAAATCCTATCGAGGATATAAAAAATATATATCCACTACATGCTAAACGCGCATTCTCCTCATCTAGTGATACGTCAGCAGAAAAAGATTATAAAAAAATAAAAACGTTACATCCTATTTCTAAAAGACAGTTAACTACAGATAGCAACGGATCTGGTAACCCGGCACCACATAAAAAAATAAGGACTGATGATTTACCAACGTACAACGATTCGAACAAGGAAGAACGTATCGAGTTACATGAAACATTGTCGGATAGTGATAGCAGTACTATATCTTATTATTATGACACCGATATTGATAGCGATAATTCCGAAGTAACTTCCAAAAAACAAAAGAGAAAACACGAAAGCAGCTCATCTGGTCAAGGGCGACGTGTAAAACGAAAAAATCGAAGGAAAATGTATAAAAACATCAAAAAATCAAATTCATCAACCGAAGAATACGTTAATCTCGACCTCACCTGGAACATCGCCTATAGAAATAACATCTCCTGTTGAATATCCACATAAGGAAATAGCAGATGAAGATTTCGAAAGCAAACAAAGTCATCGGCATATGGAATTACA